AGAGAGAGAGAGAGAGAGAGAGAGAGAGAGAGAGAGAGAGAAAATTCTAATTACAGATCTTCCTGAATTTTGAGTAGTTTGGTCCTCAGTTCTTCTGTAACAGCCTTTTCAAAAATATGAGGAAAGTTAAATTTATAGGCAACATTGAGAGAAAATTGTAGTATTGGTAACCTCAACAACATTTTATCCAGACTTAAAACAATGCTTTTTTCCTTACTGAGCCTTGACTGCTGATAAGAAGCTTTGCACATTTTGAATCACAGACTGAGACCATGACTTTGGCTATCAAGTCTACTATGAATGCCTCAACTGATTTGAACCTGAGATTGCTAATTCTTCCGCTAAGCATTCAGTACATAGCAAACTTTCTTTCTTTCTTTTCTTTTTCTTTTCTTTTTTTTAAAATCATCCTAAAGCTATTAAAAAGATTCTCTGTTCTGCACCTAAAGACCACTAAGTAGGATTTTTTTTTTAACCAGGAACACAGGTCGAATTGTCAGAACTTCAACACCTTTGGCAACACTATGAGAGAGAAATCTGGAGCCAAATTTCAAACTGATGTAAAAGCCTAAGGTGGTTTGGAACATTATTTTTGCCTTGGCATGTCTTTATAAACCTTATATTGCCACGTTATCAGGGGTTTATGTACTCTGCCTGGAAACTCTTTGCTGGTACTGTAAAGTCGGTTGTTATGGTAACTATTATGACATCAAATATAATATTATGATCGGGGGTAGGGTAACCAGTTCAGACAAAATATGAAATTGTACCTTTGGTACCTCTTAAACGTCTGGATCAGCTTTATATTTGTTCAGCTAGTTGGATCTGACCCATCCAGGGGAAAAAAGCAAACCCCTATAGTTTGAAGTTTAAATCTCAGACCTGAGAAAGCTGAAAGCTTCTTACAAGAAGAGAAATATTAGGTTCAGACTCTCACATGCTGCTTCCAGAGGAAATTCCATGCTTATTCTCATACAGTTTTTTTCCTTCAACTTTCTTTTAAATCTTCAGCTTTATTAATATTTTCCTGAGTGTAAGCCAAAGTAAATATCATGTGACTTGCTTATGAGTAGGATTTCACAGGATTATACTGTTAAACAGCTTTAAATTTGCAATCCTTTCCCAATATTATGGCTATCATGAAACATAAATTCATAGCGTTGATGCCTACTGTAGGCTACTGTTGCAAGAATGCTGGATTAAACCAAGAAGTAAATTTTAAGATGGTATCTAGTTTTAAGGAATAATAATGAACTTCAGAGTCAATGGGGTCCTGTCATCTTAGTAATTGCTATTAGAGAAAGAAAAGTATTGGTATTTCTTATACCCTGGCTGAGCTTTAAAACAATGGGGTTTTTTTTTTACCTCAAAGCTGCATTTTTATTATATTGTACTCTGAGGATCATAAAGGGTATGTCTGATAATTACCGACTGTTACTGGCAGAATGGGATCAAAACATTCCAGCTCTTTTTAGAATCTTAAATAATTAAAACTTCAAAATAGGTGTGTTAAGGTTAATCAACCTATTTTCAAACTTCAAATGACTCAGAGAAGTAAATGCATGGTGCTAAAAGCTGCTAATCATTGAATTTTAGCTGTCCAATCTGAGGATGCTCTGGAAAACATAAGGTGGGGACTAGAGACCTATAACTAATCAACTTGGATTGGCCTAGCATAATAAATATAGTATCTGCATTTAGTGTACAGAAAATAATTTGAAAGAACTGAATCAGCACAAAATTAATCTTATACATACTTGTTAAAATTATTCTGGCTTCCTCACAATTATCCCAAATCTTTTCTTTCTTGATATTTATATAGTGAAAAAATTAAAATATTGTCAATCTATAAATATAACATATTCTTGTGAAGAATGCTGCATTGTCGTAAGACTAGACTCTCTCCTCATTCCAAGATAAAATCAATATTCTTATTTCTGAATTACAAAATGGATTTCTACCAACCTGAAGGCTTACAACACCACACGCCTTGTCATCAATTATTCCCTTATATATTTTGATATAGATTTACCACATAATAATCCTTCACCTTCTAACTGTGCTCATGTAAGGTGTTTTAATGGGACTGCTGTAATGATGTCCCATCAGAATAGCAGTACTCCACAACTTTCAGACAGCTGTGCAGATTAACTCAAACTGCTGGATATTAATTGTGAAGAGTGCTGTTAGGAATCCTTATATGTCAGTGATTCAACACACTGGCCAAATAATTACAGTATTAAAATAAGAGGGCAGGAAATGGCAAAAGAAAAAGCAGCTAATGGTTAGAAAAGAAGAGCATCCCTTTTCATAAAAGAAAGCAAGTGATGTAAAATTAAGAGTAGAGAAAAGGAGATAAATAGTATCCTTGTTCTCAAAACAGCATCAATAGAGCAGGATTTAAATTTACTAGTGGCTACAACGTCTATAAACGCTAAGATCTACATACATGAATATCTTATGTTTTATAAGTTGTATTTTACTCTATAAATGTTTTTCTGCAATGAAACCTCATCTTTATTAGCATGTCCTCAAGTTATACATGCCTGTCATGTAATATAAAGCAGTAAGTACAGAAAAGTACCCTTTCAAGTTAGTCACATCCATACATCTAAGGTCTTGATTGGGATAAGTACTTATTTGGCATCAACTTCATTATACCTATAAATTTTCTAATGATGTGGGCTGTAAGAATTGGCAATTGCAAGATGACTTAAAAGTAAACTGCAAACTCAGGGACTCAATTTAGATCAGGGAAACAGCTAACATTTCTCTATTCCTTATGTCAGGGTTCATAGTATTTCCCTCTCCTTCCCCCACCTTGTATCTGCTTTTTCTTTTCTTTTTAAAATTCAGTTATTCAATTCAGTGTCCAGTTTTGCTCTTAAAACAAAACTGCCCCCAAATGAAAGAAAGAACAAAAACCTATGACCAACCCATCATATGTATTATATTTCACAGAAATGAAAATGAGTTTACTTTGCATTTTGCAGTACTATGGGGTTTAATGCTTAGCTGAAATCAGTGCTAACTTTCCAATGATATAACAATCCCTTCTGGAAGAGAAAAATGTGTATGATATGCACATGATGCTTCCCAGTATAGCCCTCTCTGTTCATTTCACCTTGGAGCTAGAATCCTGGGCATGTGAAGACTGGTTTTCCTCTCTCCTAAAAGAATGGGAAAGTCCCCTGGAGCAGCAAGCCTGGGCATGCATCAACAGACGCAGTACTGTGCTTTATTTGACTACTTCATTTACATCCCACCTATATTCCCCAAAGGAACTGGGCAGTGTATGTAGGCGTTTTCTGGAAGCTTGCAATACAGGCAGCAGATTTGCTCAGGGTGACTGCTTTATTTGCAGGCCACAGCATGGCTAAAAGAGCATGCTTTTCCAACAATATTTTTATGCACTCTGTCACATAGCAAGCTATTGCATCAATCCTCTTCAAACTAGGGGAACTGATTGCAAAATTGATTCCCTCACTCCTTCAGGGAATGAATGAATCTACTGTTCCTGCCAAAAATGACTGCAACCACCACTACATGCAGAAAGCTTAACCTGCATATGCAGTGGGCTTCATTATGCATAGATCCCTTTTATTAGATGTTATCCAACTCTGGCTGAAGTTCTGACGTCCATATTCAAGTTCCCCTTTCTGGTATCATGGGATTCCCAGCAACTTTTAATAAGGAACAATTGCAGCAATTCATTTAAAAATACACAAAATATTTTTATCCAGCATCACTATACAACACTGAAGGAAACCTGAAATGGTGGATAAACCACTCTTAAATTTGAGTGCTGTTACCAAAAAAAGTCAATAGCCAAGAATTCATTCCTGAGCAAATGGGGGCCAGGAAGTGTAAGTATGATGGATGTTGTACATTCTGGCCTACATTTACAATAAGGATATTAAAGGATACACCTTGTTCGGAATTATTACTTATCACTTATCTTGATTTTTTTTTAAAAAAAAGATATTGCTTTCTTTTTATTCAAACAAGAAAAATTTAGAGAGATTTTCATGTTTGTATCAAATTAATAGAAAATGTATTATGAAGGAATTTCTCCACTATTTTTTTTCAGATCAGAAGTGTGGGCCACAGAGAGCTAGAGTGATGTGTAGATGAAAACAGTAGTAAAAGCAACTTCCTCAGCCACCTTGTAATGATAAAGCTCATACAAATTACATAAAGTAGCTTGAAAGAGCAAAAAACAAAAACTTTTGGGAAACTGGAAGATAGATTTCAGATCAAGCAAAAATTCTACTTATACGAGCTACAGGTAAGATTTATGAACTTTTAAAAGGGTTTATAAAGTATTTATATATCAGAAACAGATTATGCAAAGTGTGATAGATTCACAAGATAGTAACATCACTTTATTAAAATAGTGTGACTGTTTTAAGGTGTCTTACCTGTTATGGTTGCTTTGTTGATGGATGGTTGGTTACACATGGGTGACCGTCTGGGGAAGAAGGGAGAGAAAGAGTCAAAAATGAAAGGTATCTTCATGAAATAATGTATTCATTATTCACTATGTTCTTGGGAAAGACTAAGATATTTTTAAAAAATGATTAAAACTACCAAAAGAATTGATAATATAAAGGCCACACTCAATGCAACATAGAAAATACACAGTTTGAGATTATACCTGTTTCCCCCCCCTCCCCCTGGGTCTGGGAGAACAATGTTCAGCAACCTAATGCTTTCCACATATGATGAACTTTCAACTCTCAAAATAAGTATGGCCATATAATGTACACGAGGAAGGTTGGACCTTTCCCCATTTTCAGCAGATGGGACTGATTTTTTTCTTTTCTCTTTTTTTATAATAACTGCCACTTGTATTGGATTTCCCTTCTCAAAAGTCAGAAGTCAGGCTGCTGATTTCAGCATTTAGGGATGCATTTAGGGATGGTTTAAATGAAGCCCATCTTTGAACTGCGTTGTGTTGAAGCACACTTACATAACGGAGAACTTATGCAATGTAAAAGGTGCGTTTAAGTAAAAACAAACTTGGCAGGAAACAGAAAAAGACCACACTTACTTGCTAGGTGCTCGATCCTGAAGGTTGGTTAATGCAGCAAAATTGTTCCGTACAGTACGTAAACTGGCAAGCACCTGTAGCAAACAAAGTGCATAAAAAATTTACTCTCAAATTTCTCAGGTATGCTGCTTTTTTCTCCCTGATTTATTTGGCAACAATAAACAGACAGCTTTCTGAACAGGTGGCTTCCTAAACAAGTTATTGTGTGATCTGAAGAGAAACCAGAGTTATTAATCTTTTCAGGATTTTGTTTTGTGCCTGAAGTGTTTGCTTATTCTTTTCCAATGCATACATACTAGAATGATACTAGGATGATAGTTTTAATGCTCTCTTTGTTACTAAAACACCAAATCATTATTTGTTTTTTAAAAGTAAACTTTGTCTTAGGGAAAACAACATTTCCTAGAGAACAACTCCTATTCCTCTCTCAAATGACAAAATTTTGACAATAAATGTTTTGTGCTAATTGTGTCCAAACTATTAGAAGAGTAAAATAACTGTGCAGTAAAATCCTTTTAATATTTGGTAACTAAGTGAAATAAGGAAATTTTCAAATAAATTCATTCAATCCTGTTTTGTTGATAACACAGTGGCATGTATGTTTGAGAATAACTCTTTATATGCTTAAAATGAAATAATTACAATTCTAGTGCCATAACTGACACCAGGTAGGAGAAATATTTACAAATGCAACTGCTTAGGATATCTATAGTCACCAGATTATTAGACTGGCTTTGAATCCTAACATCTGTCTTGGGGATTTTTGTCAAGCAGTGTGCCTTTGCAATCATTCAGATGTGTCTGGCACCATTGAAGTGCATCATGTTATATAGTGTCTAACTAATGACAGATTGTAACTTCATCAAGAAATACAGGTAAAAATAAAAGTTGTTTCTTTTGCCAGTTAAGATTATACTGTAGCTAGGATTATAATTCTTCTAGCTCTATAGTTGGAAGCCTTAAGCTGAAAATAGAAATTCTCCCTTTTTCCTTCCGGCCATATAACATGTGGTACCTACCTGAGCAAACGGTGTCACAATCAAGTCATCTCCATGTCTAGAAAACAAAACATAGAACATAAATCAATACTGAATTCAGTATGTGACATATTTTAAGATCTCCTTCTATATTTCAGCTCAAAATCATCACTATTTTATAAATTATTTTCATGAACCTCACCATGATACTTCCTCTTGCTTTACTCTTTCCACCTCTGTTGTCAGAGGCATCATAGATTATAAAACAGTTGTCATTTCTAAGCATCCATGATACACTTAGACTGTGGCTTCAATTGGAAAGAAGTCACAACTATATAAAGAGATTGGTATGAACCCTCGTCTGTTTTCTCACCATTTATAACAGCAGAATTAGGGAGAAGACTGGCAATCACAATTACTTGAAACAAACAATAAAAACAATAAAACAAACAAGGGTTCATGAGCATCAACTAACAGTCAAAAATCTCTGATCTCAAACCACATTGATAATAAACAACACCAGTTCGATTAGGTAGGAACAAAAATCATTGGGCATGCCAACACCCGCCACACAGGTGAATTTATTGAAGCCTGGTATTCTACTAAAGGAGCAATTAACAAGCATATTGATCTAGATCCAGCATATAAATACGTAAGAAACCAGACCATTCAAACAACCAATCAACAAGAGAACAAATCAGCTGCTCAGAATTTAAATATAGCTCCAAACAAACAAACAATCACATGACCAACTGACCATGATGTTACCTAGTCTGGTAACGAACCTTTCAGAAAATAAATTGAAACAAGCTTGGAGAGCAAACCACTGCCAAAATTCACGATTACTTTTTATTTGAGAGGGCAGCCCTTTTAAGCACCAAAAGCAACTGTATTAACTATTGCTAATAGAGAACAATTTATAAAAATTGAACAAACAACTGCAGATGATAAGGAATTATTTTGTGGATAATAAAAGAATTTTCTATGCAGCCCAAATGTTTTCATGCATTTAATTTTATGTGAAAGTTAACACCTGAAGATATGGATTTATATGATACTTTCTCTTGTAGAAAGTATCTGTTTATATTAAACAGAGAGATAATACAGGTAGTCCTCAACTTACAAGCACAATTGAGCTCAAAATTTCTGTTGTTAAGTGAGACATTTGTTAAGTGAGTTTTGCCCCATTTTACAACTGTTTGTGTAAGTTAGTAGCCAGTTTAAGTGAATCTGGCTTCCCTATTGACTATACTTGTCAGAAGGTTGCAAAAGGTGATCACATGAGCTTGGGACATAGCAATGGTCATAAGTATAAATCAGTTGCCAACCATCTGCATTTTGATGACATGATCATGTTGCAAATGTCATAACTGTGAAAAATGGTCCTAAGTCACATTTTTTACCTTTTGCAGTATCATTGTAACTTTGAAAGGTCACAAAACAAACTGTTGCAAGTTGAGGAGTAGAAAGTGACTGATTCCTGTTTTAAATTGTCATGTTCAAAAAGAGTGAAAACAAATAATCACGCTTTATAATGAAGCCTGACAAATGTGGTACCCAATAACAGAGAACAATTACAAAACCCCACACTGCTTCACTTCTCGTTTCTTAGGACACTAGCAAGAGAAGCTGGGGATTTTCTCTCTGGACATTTACACCAAACAAAACACAATCAGGGATTCCCAGTTGGAACACTATGTGCAATAGTCACAGAAGAAAATTCCCTAATTTGGTTGTTACATCTACTGGTGCAAGGAGGAATAATTTGGCAGATTGAACCTACTGTTAAATCTGATTTATTGGGATTTGCAAATTGGCTCATATGGTTCCAATTACTGCTGCAATTTAAATGTTTTTTTTTAACCATAGACAATACTTGACCATTTTTGAAAGAAGTATAATGTACTGAATTATAAAGCAATGTTTTTTAAAAGAAAGAGCTAGCTATTTCATACCTTGGCAGCCTGGGCTGCAATTTTATGATCTTTCTCCTGGGAATAAAATCTATTCATGTCATTGGGATCTATTTCTACATGAAATAAGTATTTGATTATGATGTATTGATTGCATTTATGGCTATATTTTTTTCATCTGTAGGGATTTGCATTTATTCACTGAAAGATTCACAGTGATCGTTATCAGTCAAAACACCAAGTTCTTGTTCTACCTACTGTCTGTCTGTCTGTCTGTCTATCTATCTATTTATCTATCTATCTACACACACACACATACTCATATATATATATATAATGTGTGTGTGTATGTAATACTAATACTAATACTAATACTACTACTACTAATAATAAAAATAATAATAAAAAAAAAGTTGGAAGGGACCTTGGAGGTCATCTAGTCCAATCCCCTGCTCAGGCAGGAAACCCTATATCATTTCAGACAAATGGCTGTCCAGTCTCTTCTTAAAGACTTCCAGTGTTGGAGCATTCACCGCTTCTGGAGGCAGGTTGTTCCACTGGTTAATTGTTCTAACTGTCAGGAAGTTTCTCCTTAGTTCTAGGTTGCTTCTCTCCTTGATTAGTTTCCATCCATTGCTTCTTGTCCTGCCTTCAGGTGCTTTGGAAAATAGCTTGACTCCCTCTTCTTTGTGGCAGCCCCTGAGATATTGGAACACTGTTATCATGTCCCCCCCTCATTCTTCTCTTCGTTAAACTAAACATACCCAATTCCAGCAACCGTTCCTTATATGTTTTAGCCTCCAGTCCCCTAATCATCTTTGTTGCTCTTCTCTGTACTCTTTCTAGAGTCTCAACATCTTTTTTACATCACGGTGACCAAAACTGGATGCAGTATTCCAAGTGTGGCCTTACCAAGGCATTGTAAAGTGGTATTATTACTTCACGTAATTTTGATTCTATCGCTCTGTTAATGCAGCCTAGCACTGTGTTGGCCTTTTTGGAAGCTGCAGCACACTGCTGGCTCATATTTAAATGATTGTCCACTAGGACTCCGAGGTCCCTCTCACAGTTACTATTATTGAGCAAGGTACCCCCTATACTATACCTGTACATTTGGTTTTTCTTGCCTAAATGTAGAACCTTGCTTTTTTCACCACTGAATTTCATTTTGTTAGATAGTGCCCAGTGTTCAAGTCTGTCCAGATCCTTCTGTATCCTAAGCCTGTCTTCTGGAGTGTTGGCTATTCCTGCCAGCTTGGTGTCATCTGCAAATTTGATGAGTTCCCCGTCTATCCCCTCGTGTGTGATATCTTGGTGTCCCAAGTGACCTGATCAGACTTCTCAGATCACTATATACTGTACACCGAGGCAACAGTGAGAACACTTTATGGGTGACACAGATTGGTTCAGGATCAGTAAGGAAGTTAGACAGGAATGTATTTTATTACCATTTTTGTTCAATCTATATGCTGAAGGGTTCATGCAGAAATTTTATCTGGAACTGCCTGATGTTGGAGTAAAGATTGGGGGAAGAACCATAAATAATTTGAGGTACGCAAATGATACAATACTATTGGTTGGGTGATCTTGGCTTAATCACTTTCTCCTAGGAAACAGGCAATGACAAATCACTTCTGAAATCTTGCTAAAAAAAACTTCAGGGACTTGTCCAGACATTGCCAGGAGCCAAGGTTGACTTGAGGGCACAGAGACACATACACACAAATACAATAAAGATGAGAATAAGATATTTGGAGTTGGTAAGATTGATGAAAAAAGCATCCTACTCCAGTCAAATTAGAACTAAAAACCCGAGAACAGAGATCACCAGAACAGTCTCTCTTCGCATTAAGCAGACAGAAACATGCTGTAGAAGCTTGTCTAATCCTATAATCAGCATTAACAAGGTAAAGGAAAACTAGCATTACTAAAAATAAAATAAAATACAACATTGTAATAATGAAGATGCCCTCAGGGGAAAAAAAAATCCCCTTCCTCTGTGTCCTGAAGGTGCTTTTTCAAAAGGCAACTGGACTTTTTGTTTTTTCCTTCTTATGACTGCGAATCATAAGCTTTTTGGATCAGAAGCGAAACATCTTCAAGGACAAACAAAGAAAGTCCAGTTGTCTCTTGATAAAGCACCTTTGGGACAACCATGACTTTGATGACTGACAATCTCCACAGACTCTTCTTCTGTGATACTTCAGTTCTGAAGTAACCTGTGCTTGGAGGTAAATAGTGACAAAAAGTTGGTCCCTTTGCTGCCACCACGCCTTCATAATAAACTATGTTCTCCCTTCCCCACCAGCTGTCTGGGGAACCAGGAGAGGATTGAAGGGGAAATCCTCATCCAAACCTCGATCTAAGTAAATTATAGGAAAGGAAACCCAACAAAATTTTGCTAGTAATTTGCTCAGCCAATCTGAGGCTGGTGCTAGAAGGTAGCCAGACAACTCCAGAATTCACAAAAAAAAAATATCAAGCTTATTACAGATGTCAAAGAAAGATAAAGTTCCAGACATGCAATGCACCGTTAAAAAAACCCATAAAATAAAATATAGAAAAACCCTAATGTGTTTCTAGCCTACAACAAAACAACTCCCAAGTTTGTAATCTTGCCTGAAGTAACCTCCCTCATCTGGGATTCCAGCCAACTACAAAAAATGCCAACTCTTCCTGCCAAAAACACAATAAAACCTCTGCTTTTCCTCTATTGGTTCTTGGGGATCAGATGATTCCCCCTCAACACCTAAGGCCGGATTGTTATTTAAAGGGCCAGCTGCTCCTTGCTACAAATATGTCAAGAGTTTACTGAAACTTGTGCTCAGGTTAGTTACTATCAGTGCCATCAACTTAGAAAAAAATTGCAATATTTTATTGCAAATGATATTTCTTAAGGTCCTAGGGTCTTACTTGTTCAAATGTAAAAACAGTTGAATCTGTTTCCTTCCTAGATATATTGATATAACTTACTGCCAAACAAACTTATTTTTTCCTGTATATAACAGGAGTTGTAGGTATATAAAATTGGCTCCATTCTTTTTTTTTTCCATAGTGAATCAAATTTAAGCCAAGTAAAAAAGAATTTTCACCCTTCTATTTTACTTAGCAAAACACTTCAGATTTTGCTAACAACTCAGGAAATAATGAGCATTTTGGAGATAAAGCAAATGTCAAATGCACTGCACTAGACAGAAAGAAAGAATGTCAACCTTAGCAAATTTCTAAATATGGGAAAAGGTTATTATTCTTTAAGGCAGCGTTCTTAGCCTTGACATCTTTAATGTGTGTGAACACTGCTTTAAGGTTATAGCTGAAGAAGACAGGAAAAGCCTCATTCAGCCATTATTAGCAAATTTCTTAGTTCAAAAGAAAGGGTTTTTTTCCCTTCATTTTCTCCATTCTCTATATCTACAAAAGCTTCTGTTTCTATAATTTTGTTTGTGTGTAAAGAAGCAAATATATCAAGTAAGGAAAATCGAGATTTTTAAAATTAAAAAAAAAGAATTCTTATTCATATTATATATGCTCACTTCATAGTCAATATATAGTCAAGTAAAAAACGACTTGAGACTGGTGAAACATTGGGAATGTGGACAGCATTGTATGGCACTCTTAGCAACGGCTGCCATGAGGTAAGAAGCAAAAGTCTCTTTAATTGAGCTTTATTCTGATGAATTCGTAGCCATTTCTATGTAGTTTTCTGGCAGCAATACAGAAATCATCTGCCACAGCCTTCTTCCAGGAAATTTTTCCTCAACTTTTTTCTAGCCTACAGCCATGGAATTCCTCTGCAGTTCTTTTCCAAATGCAAACCAGATCTGACTGCTTAATTTTAAAGATCAGCCAAGGTCAGCTCAACATACGCCACAGCAATTTGCCTATTCAAAAAAAGGCCATATAGTGCCTTGGGCTAGTTGCAAAACTAGTTCACGCTATTAAGCTCTAGTATTCTATGATGCTTTTTACTGCTCCTATCCAAAGTTTTTTTTTTAATGAACACACGACACATTTCCAGTGAATACTGCACAGCTGAGTGTGGAAATTGCAGATTGATTGTTTAATTAAAATAGTATAAAACAAATAATGCATGGGTGGAGCAGGAGGTCTGGTAGGTATTACAGGAAGAATCGGTGGGTGTTATATTTCCTCTTCTTGAATACAGTGTTCTGCCTGGCAAAGCATTACTTTTATTGTTACAAAGTCAACTTGAGTGTTTAAAACAGAAAAGTAAAGAAGAAGGAGAAGGAAATGGATCAAAAAAGGAAGAGAGGGGAAAAAAGAGGAAAAACATATTTGGGAGGCAGCAAAAAAAGAAATCCAATACCAAGTGTTCAAAATTAAATATGGAGCTTAGAAAGCAAACTAGAGGTACTAAAGATCAGTCTTCCACAAAACCTTAGCCACAAGGAATCTAAAACCAACTATTGCTTTAAATGGGGAGTAGAAAGCTATCTATGCAAAATGGGAAGAGGCTTCAAGGAAATTCCCCAAATGGGAATTTAATAGCCACTAAGGCAGGGGTGTCAAACTCGCCACATCACATGACATGTCGCGACGTATCGCGACTTTTCCCCCACTGCCAGAGCTAGGGTGGGGACGGTTTCGGCATGACGCATCCGGCCTGCGGGCCAGCAGTTTGACACCCCTGCACTAAGGTAAAGATCTAAGATAATCTGTAAAAGTATCATTCTGCTTCAAAAGAAGTGAAAGAAAACTCATACAGTTTTCTTCTATTTTTCTGTTCAAAAGGAATTGGTCCATTTTTGCTATTAATTGTTCAATGTAAAATTTTCACTTTATAATTAGTAAAGTTGTATTAGCTATGTTGAAAATAAGGAAGCTTATGCAGATTCAGAAATTCTAATTATTTTAATTAAAATAACATGGTAACCCAGTCAGAAGACCTTGTCAACATCAAATCCTGACTATCTAATAAAATTGCAGAAAGAATATCCTTGCCTTCTGAAGAGGTTGCAACAGAATTCCTCCAACAAAGTTATCAGTTACTTTACCTTCTGTTACAGATAATCTATGATCCTTTAAACTTGTTTCATAATTCAACCATTCTTATTGTTAATATTCTCCTAATATAATTTAAATGTGCTTCTGTGAAATTTCCATTCATGAGTTCTAATGCCTTACATTTTCTCCATATTAACCATTCTCTCGTTTGAAAAAACTGATTGAAAAGGCTCCAAAAACTTACATATCACTGGCAATAGAGGAGTTCCTGGACATAGACTTTGGCGACAGATCATAGTCGCTATCTGACCGGTAGAGAAAGGACTCTCTGCGTTGACTGTGAACAAAATTTGCCTGGAGAATTAGCCCTGATCCAGGGCTTGTCATGGGATCCAAGGGACTCCGTCCCGATGAGGTGCCATTGTCTACGTCGAAACTGCAAGGCAATAAGAATATATTTAATGCAATGTAAAACCTAATCAACCCCACACAATTAGTATCAAGGACAACCTTAATTGACTTGGTGACATTCAGTTCAACTTCAAGATTTCCATCTTGTGGTCAGGTGTGATGGGTGATTAAATCCAGTACATCCAGAGAGCACAAGATTAGAAAACTCAAGGAATGTTTTGGCTATATTAAACTTCTTCCTTCTATGAAGCTAGTTTTCAATCATTATTATTATTCTTAAGAAGTTAAAGCAGGGGAAAAATAATAACAAAAGGAAATAGAATATAGGAGAAAACAGAATAATTTCCTTCTCCACAAATTTTAAGATGGAAAGAAATAAATTTGGCTTAATCACAACAACATTGTACAGTTATTTCCTGATTGTAAGATTTTTGTAAGTTGTTGGTTCCTTTTTGCACTGGATAAATGTGTCAAACTTTGGAATTTTGAAACTAGTCTTGGGGTTGTTGTTTTTTTTGTTTTAAAAAAATTCAATGGAGAGTTCCCACCCCTAAAAAGGAATATTGTCTATACATATAACATAAGTCAGAGAGTAGCCTAGATAAGTGCCTTTCTTCATTAATTACAGCATTATGGAACAGTTTGCAAACCCAATCCTACCCATAAAACCCATGATGCTAAACTTGTTTCCTGACTGATTTACCTGATTTACCCTGCTGTTTTCCGTATCATAACATAAAGCCCCAGTAGCTGCAAGATTCAAAAGCATCAGCATAATTCATCATTATGACAGCAGTTCTTTCTAGCACCATAGAAAAATTAAAAAGGCTCTAAGCTTTCTGACCCATTTTTAATTTCAGACTGAGGAGAAAACAGAATACTATGTTACCTGCTGTTTTGGACAGTCCTTTTTTTCTAAAAAAAAAAAAAAAAAAAAAGGTGCCGGAACTCACACACGTCATACAACCCGCCTTGCCTACCCTATAAGGTTCCATCCAAAAAAGGTGCCGGAACTCCGTTCTGGGCATTCTATGAGAAAAAAAGCCCTGGTTTTTGAGAATTAAGAGAACTTTTCGTTGATGTTTTATTGTGCAACTCTCCTGCTTCAATCCTGGAATTTCATTACAAGCCCAGAAAACAATATTGCCCACCCTTTCTAACTCATTATCTTCTCACGTCTATTTCTGGCATAATTTTTTCCTTCCAACAGAAAACCTTTCAAGTGGGAAAAGAGAGAAGGGCTGCCTAATATCTTTGGGTGGGTATTGCTCACAGGCAACCATCTGGAAACACTTCAATCCCAAAAGATAGGAATGCAGATTTGGAGTTCTCTATGCAATCAGTGAAGGCATGCAGTGCTTGTGCACAGAAGCTGCTTTCTACAGGTAGTCCTCAACTTAACAATAGTTTGTTTAGTGACTGTTCAAAGTTACAATGGCACTGAAAAAAGTGACATGACTGTTGTTCATAGTTACGACCTTTCCAGCATCCCCATGATCATGTGATCAAAATTCAGATGTTTGGCAACTGGTTCATATTTGTGACCTTTACTGTGTCCCATGATCATGTGATCCCCTTTTGCGACCTTCTGACAAGCAAAGGCATTGGGGAAGCCAGATTCACTTAACAACCCGCCTTACTAACTTATCAACCGCCGTGATTCACTTAACCACTGAGGCAAGAAAGGTTGTAAAATGGGGCAACATTCACTTAACAACAGAAATTTTGGGCTCCATTGTGGTCTTAAGTCGAGGACTGCCTGCATTAGGTTAGATAATCTGTCTGCCTAACCAGAGCTGCCCACTTGATGTGATGATAAGCAGTCCAAAAGAAGCCCAATTCTGATAAGAAAACACCCCCTTACTATTATTGCTACTACCTGATTCCTTTAAATGAGCTTTGAATTTTTCTGTGCCTGGAAAGCTGCTAAAGCCTTAATGCTCTTCAAGGATTTCTTCCTGACTCAAATCAACACAACAAAATATTTAGGTGTTTCTGCCACCATGTCCAGGATCCAGATTATATCTTGATTTTGGTATAATATAACAAAGATTCAAACAGCTCATAGCATTACATGATAGATAAAATCCTGAAATTTTAATAAGAGATGAGAAGTGTTCCTTCCTAATTCAGTCCCTAGGCAATCTTGCTGTTAGTTCTGAATTAACACATTTGGATTGAAAAACTGCATTTGGAACATTTATAAATGAAGCATTTGTTGCAATACAATACAGTCTCCACTAGATGGAAGCCAAAAACAACAAGGGAACAAGCTCACACTGAAACAATTACCGGTAGCATTTGGATTGGATATTGCTTGAGCATATGTACTATTTCCTTATGAAATTCTCAGGTCATAGGGGTAGCAAATTGTATTGATGAATGAAAACAAAACAATAATGAATTGTACTCATATGTGATGCAGTTTTAAGTTCTATTTATATTATTTGTTAGCTTTAATGCTATTTATAAAGCACCTTCTCCAACCCCCAGCTTTTAAATCAAACCCTTTTATTATAATCCCAGATCAGTTTTCTGAAGAACAATAGACTTATTAAAAGAAATTCTTAATATAAAATACAAGTAGAAATAAAAATACTAGAAAAAGGAGAGGGAAGGGGATAGAGGTAGTGAAGTGAGGGAAGAAAATAAAATTTAAAAAATGGCTTCTAACTTCTTTCAGTACAGTAACATACCTAACAGAGTTACAATATCAACTTTTTATTTATAGATGTATTGGAAGAGTGAAGAAGATCTTAAAGTCCAAACTCAGTGGAGGAAATATCATAATCTTCAAATATTGTAACACCTGGGCAATCCCAGTCATAAAATACACAATTGTAATATTGGATTGGACTTAAGCAGAATTACAAGTCCTGTATAGAAGAACAGAAAAGTAATGATGGTGAATTGTGCTCTTCATGCTGGCAGCAACTTTGACAGACTCTACTTACCAAGGAAACTAGATGGGCACAGAATGTTGCAAGTACACCAGAAAATAAAAGAAAGAAAAAAGGGCATTGGAAGAATATCTGAAGGACAGTGAAGAAGATGCATTGAAGCTAGTACACCATGAAGGCATACGGAATATTGGATAGACCAAACTGGCTTATAAGAAAGACCAAATAAGGAACAGAAAGGAAACATGGCAAGTCAAAGTATTAGATGGCTGGTACATAAAAAAGGGGGACAAGAGAGCTCAATGGTTAAAACACTGGTCTTGTTGGTTGGAAAGTCAACAGCCCAGGTTTGAGACCCAAGTGCTGTGTGACGGGGTGAATTCCCATTACTTTCCCCAGCCCCACCCGTTTAGTACAGGGGTAGTCAACCTTGGCTCTTTTATGACTCGTGGACTTCAACTCCCAGAATTCCTGAGCCAGCTAAGCTGGCTCAGGAATTCTGGGAGTTGAAGTCCACGAGTCATAAAAGAGCCAAGGTTGACTACCCCTGGTTTAGTAGTTTGAAAGCATGCAAATGCATGTAGACAAATAGGTATCACTTCGGTGGAAAGATGGCAGTGTTCCATGCGCTTGGCATATAGTTATGCTGGTCACATGATCATGGAAATGTCTTCGGATAATGGTGGCTCTCTTGGCTAAGAATCAGAGATCAGCACCACCCCCACAGTGAGACACACTGGACAGGGGAAACCTTTATCTTTTCCTTTAAAAAAACCCCTAACAAATATGTGAGAACAAGACCTGCCAATAGCTAAAAGTAAGAAACTTGAACTTCTCCTGTAGAAATGGAGCTCAAATGGTGCTGGTGGGAGTCTGTGAGAGCAGTGAGATTAAGGGAGATTTCCTTGTCTTATAATAGTATGAGTACTGAAGGGCAGATCAGAGATTTATTAAGAATTCTTGTTCACTTCAATAATGACTGCTATACAGGGAAACCTGGATTAATCTTTCATTATTTCCAGAACAGTAATATGTTTTAATGAATACAAATACATTTTATACTTTGGTTATGTTGCTTTTATTAATAAGATAAATCTGTAAATTGTGAATACATTAGATCAGAATGTAAGAAACAAGAAAACTTACTAATAAGCAACTCTATTAAATCTGTTTCCTTTTTTTTTTAAACAGCAGCAGTAAAAAAAAAATACACACACATTCTGCATTCCCAACTTTCTGGCTACATATAAATCTGGCTACACAGAGCATAAAATGTCCTTAAGTAAACATAATAAGAACACGGAATACTGTTGAATATCAAGCCAGCCCATCATGTTCAGTACTGTTTACAGAGGTTCTCCAGAGTTTCATGCAAGAATCTTGCAATCTGAAGATGCCAAGATCTTCTATACGCAAAACATGTGTTCTATCATTGAGCTATGGCCTATTTAAAAACTAGGTGTGTAAAACATGTATCCAGGCACAAACCTGAATATGCATTATTCATTGATAATTAGACAGGAGGATTTTAAACAAAGTTTTAATGGATGAATTGTGTAAGTTAATTGTTTTAAACTTACATCCCCTTCTAGCAAATAAAAGTCACTTGATGTCACCTATCAACTTTAACAGCTCCCCTCCTGAAACATCTATTCATGATATTCTCTCTTAATGATACCCAAAAGAATTTATTGGTTTACATTTACAAACAGCATTCTCAAAATAGGTGGTGAAATGGCATTTGAGACCTTCCCTGCAGCTTATATATTCACCTCTGTGCCAAATGGAAGCTGGGTCTGCTCATTCAAAAATTATGAAGTATTTTATCCAGAAGCCAAAGCATTAATTAAAGGTGGGTAAAGGAATTGCCTGTAAATATTTCCGCTGTTGACTCCATTCCAGTTTAGACAGTAACCTTAAAAATGGTTTGAATCCAGCCCAATCACTCTGATCCATTTGTAAACAGGATATGTTAAGTTTCACACAGATAAGAGCTATAAACTCTGTTAACTGCAATTCAACTTTTATAAACAGAATACACATAAAATTGTATGAACTAGGGAAAAACAGTTATATTTTTCCATATTTGCACACATTTATTATTGCTTTCCCCATATTTCCCAAG